AATACAGTTGGAAAACTCAGGAACTTTCATCTTTTTGGCATGGTTGTTCTTCTGATTCTAGGCAGACTTTTTGATAAAATTTGATCAAACTCATCCTAGAGTCTTGATTTTGTGCTATTCAATTTTCATTTTTGGACAGGCTCATTACTCAGAACCCTTGGCCAATATTGTATGAAAAATAGTTTATAACAAATAAAAGATAGTCATCCTCTTGTGAATTATTTATATATATGCATGAATATTGAATATTGAATAACTTTAAATAGTTGACCTGTTCAAATACTTTCAAGTTTTGGCAAAAAAAAAAAGAAGTCCCGCTTGTACATATAGGTCTTAAACTAATTTGAGATTCTTTATATAAAGAAGACGAAGAAAAGGTTGATATGTGATTCTTGATTTGTTTCCGTGCATGAATTTCTTACTGTTCATGCATTGTTCAAACTTATCGTCTTTGTTTCCTACCGTGCAGGGTATACTGATCCTGCTAAACCAGATCTCCATCGTCTGCATGAATGGCATTTTAGATCTGGACTTGATCGCTACATATGGATCATTGGAATGATATATGCCTATTATCATCCTAATGTAATCTCTTGAATATCTACATCTGGTTGCTTTTGCTCTCTTGATACTCTGACTGCTGAAATTTTAAACGTAATATCTCTTAGGTGGAGAAATGGATGGAGAAATTGGAAGAATCTGATACCAGAAGGAGAGTCTCAATCAAAGCTGGAATATTTTCCAGTTCTATATTTGTAAGTTTCATCCTTCACGGCAGTTATCCGCTTACAAAAATGACAAATGTTTTGATCTTGTAACCTGATGTCATGCTCATTATTTCTTTGTTGTTAGGTTGGGTATCTGTGGTATGAATATATTTACAAGCTGGACAAGGTTTCATACAACAAGTTGCACCCCTACACATCCTGGATTCCAATAACGTGAGTGTTATAAAACTCTTTTTTTTCTTTTTCAATTTAAACAGAATGATTTTCTGGGAGTTTTATCAGGTGGCACAATTTTCGGTTGTTTACTCTTCAGTTCATACTAGCGACTTACCATCACCTCTGCTTATTGTGATTTCAGTGTATATATATGCTTGCGGAACTTTACTCAGCAGTTGCGGGGTGTCTCTTTGACTCTCTTTGCGTACGTATTCTTATCTGAGAGTCAAACACAGCAGTCCCTTTTGTAGGGTTAATAATTGTTCAGTCCTCAGTGGTTTTTCATGTTTATGAAAGGTTTTGCTGACTCATTTTGTGTACAATTTCACTTTTGTAATGCTAGGTGGCTTGGGAAGATTACTTTGGAGACCTATATTTCACAGTTCCACATCTGGTTGAGGTACGTGACACTTCTATTTTTTTATTTCCATACGTTTTTTGACCAATGGAATGCATCTTAGTCTTTACAAGTGCCTTATTTTCATAAAGAATTACACGAAACTTTTCCTTTTCTCGTACAGAACAAACACACCTAATGGACAACCTAAGTGGCTTCTCTCTGTCATTCCAGAATACCCGTTGCTCAACTTCATGCTGACAACCGCCATCTATGTTTTGGTAAGAGAATCTTCATTTAGCCCTTAAACCTTTGCAAGCCAACGGTACTTACAAATTCTCATCTTCCATCTGCTGTTCTGTTGACTTGGTTCTGCAGGTATCTCATCGGATTTTTGAGTTAACCAATACACTTAAGACAGTGTTTGTACCCACCAAAGACAACCAAAGGCTGCTTCATAATTTTCTTGCAGGGGCAGCCATATTTACTTGTTTGTATTTTGTCTCGTTCATTCTTGTTCAGATACCTCATTGAACCGTAAGACCCTTTCTGCTATGCGCTCACTCTTTATTTGTTCATAATTCCATATACTAACGAGTTCTACCACTACAGGCTCAACCGTTCAAGACCCAAAAGTGGGTTATACAGATGTTTCCTGTTGGATGTGCAAATATAGAAGGAACTTCAATAAGGGAATTGGAAGATGTCGGTTGCGAATATAGCCTACAAAGCTTGCGTTTCAACATTTTTTTTTGTTTCGAGAATGGCAAACTCTCCGTTGCCGTGTGAAAGCTTGGATGATGTTTAGATTTGGCTTTGGAAAGTTTGGCCGGAGGGAGGAAGCAGGAAGCAACAATGTATATCTCTGTATCTTCTTTTTCTTTGTCCCACAGTTTTGTTAAATCGCTGAAGAAAATGTAGATCCCTGTGACATAGATTTGTTGTTTGTTATAAGTCAAAGTTCAATTTTTCATGAGCAGTGCAATATCTGTTTGACGTAACTTTGAAGAAATGATTATTAAGATTTTATTTTTTCAATCATCGGGGGAGGGAAATTCGAACTTGAACCTCCTCCTCACCTCCTCCTCCGCCCTCCTCGTGTTCCAAGACGACCCTACAGACGATCCAAGTGGAGGATCGAAAGCAAAGTATGCAATCGGGTTGGTACACTATCATATCCAAGAGTGGTGATGGATATGGTAGCGTACCAATCTCTCGTTGCAACCTGCGCCGTCTTGGTGGGACTTTTCGGTAGCGGAGAGTGGAAGGGTTTGAGTATGAGATGGAGGGGTACGAATTAGGGAAGGTATCCTATGTCATGAACTTGATATGGTCAGCTACAACATGTCAACTCTTTGGTGTTGGTATGGTGGGATTGATTTTTTAGGCATCGTCTCTCTTCTCCAATGCCATAAATGTTGCGTGTTTGCCTGTGATTATCTTCCATGACAAAATGGATGGGATTAAGGCAATGGTGACGCAGCACAAAGCTAATAAGGATACCAACGTAAGCCCTCGAAGAACGAATTCTAGAGCCCACCAGATTTTTGGGAGAAATTCCAAAGGATTTTGTTCGATTAATGATTCAAGATGATTACAATAGTAGTCAGCCAATGGCTTATTACAACATCCTGGGGTAACTCAGAGGCCTCAAAAAATTAAAAGGAAAACTAACGAAAATTGCTTGAAAACTTTGAGTTTTAACGATAAGGACAAAATAAAGGGTAAAATAAATATTACCAAGATTGATTTTTTAGTGTAAAAATGTGATTTTTCGTTAAAGTGAACAGTACCAGGAGCTTTTCGTTAAAGTTTCCAAAATTAAATGAAAGCAAAACGACATTAATCGGGCGACAACGAAAAGTTCGATTTTTATCACAAGACTTAAAACGCAGTTTTGGAAGCCTAGGTGGCCTCGGATGCCAAATCGGATGCCAAATGTGCGAATTCTCAAGGCATCCTTTATACTTCCATCGGTCCATCTCCTCTCCAATCCACTTGGCCATTTAGGGATTTGTTTCATGTGTTTATCAGCACTACCTTGATGACCCAAAAGTCCAACAGGGGAGAACACAAATGAAAATAGTTGGAAGAGATTTTATTTTTGCATATATCAAGTTTAACATCGAAGAGTTCAATACCTAAACAAATAAATTTTATTTAATAAAAAAAAAATTTATGTATGTAATGTTTGTCGTACGTTGTTGTATGGTTGTAAGACTCGTCAAACTTAAACTAACCTACTACTGTTGTGAGGTCTATGATATAATTATAATCTTGGGAACCGGATCCCTTCCGGATCCAATCATGCTGAGCCCCAATAATCAATGTATTTGGGCCATTGAAATTTGATCTGACGGTTACAAATAAGAGATCATTCTAAAAATTATAATAATTGTAGCTGTTGGATCAAATTTCAATGATCCGGACGCATTGATTAGTGGGCTCAGCATGGTTGGATCCGATTCCATAATCTTGTGTGCTGGTAGTTAGCTAGCAGCTGATGAACTGGTAAGTCATGGACCCATGACTACAAATAATTGTACCTATCTTTGTTGAAATTTTAATAGAAGGAAGATAAGGGTGGCTAGGGCGTGATCTTGACTTGTCACTGCATGATATAATGAATATCAAGATTTGTTTGTTTGTTTATTTATTATTATTCTGAATCGAAAGTTAATTTGCAATCGAGTGAAAGTAAATAAATTAATAAATAAATGTTAAGGAATAACTGAGCCACTACGCATATTTTATGAAATTTTGTTTGAATTTTAAGATAAAATTATGATTAGGGTTGAATTTCTCCAATATATAACGTAAAAAAATTGCAGCTTTGCTGGAATGGAAGGAAAGATTGGCAGCTTTCTTTTGTGATTTTTTATTTGTTGCAGTAAGAAGGATTTGACCGAGAAGCTGTTGTTTTGGAATTTAATGAGCGATTTTTCAAGCTCAGAACGTGATCAACTGCTAGTCGACTTTCTACAAGACACCAAATTTGGAGGTTGCTATTAAGATCCTCACCGTACTTTTGCGTTCGGAACAAACGTATTTATATTCGAATCACTCAATTCAGATCATGCGTTCGTTATTAGTTCATTTTATCGGTCTATCTCATACAAACTAAGGGTGCGGATCTCTCACTTCTCAACGATCCAGATTTCTAAATCCATAATTTCGGAGAGAATCTGGATTGCTATTCTTATAGATTTTTAAAAGGAGAATATATATAATATATTTAACAGTAATTCTTCCTTTCAAGTAAGTAAACGCCAAGTTGCTAACTACCATATCTTCGAGATTGAAAACTTAAAGGAGTTGAAGTTCTTGTGCTCAAATATACGTAGGGGGCCCACAAAATGAAGTGTCGGCATTAGAAGGGTTTGTTCAATGATCTCAGCCGCCTGAAAACAGGTAGAATCATGTATCGGACAAGGTTGAGTGATCCAATTTGGTCCGTTTTATTTTTCATGAATGTGATATCCTTGTCTGTAGCTCGCAGTTTCTGAGGACACAAAAAAATATATAAAAAAAGCAACAATAATACAAATTACAAGATGAGTCGTAGCCAGCATGGGAAAATGATCCTCTCCCCGGATCCTCTTTGTCGGGATTCGGATAATCAATAAATCACATCCGTTCATCGTACATATTGCGGTCAGAAATCATTATATAGTATTTACATTCAATTTTTAATTTTTAATTTTAAATAATTTATGACCACACGATGTACGATGAACGGACGTGATTGATTGATCTCTTGGATCTCCGCAAAGAGAATCCGGAGAGGATCCTTTTCCGCCAGCATGCATTTCATTTACTTAATTTATGTGAGTTGAAAACAAGGCCTCTCTCTCTCTCTCTCTCTCTCCTCCATTGTTTGTGAGTTTTTTCATCTTTGACATGGGAACAGCTCAAGAACTTCAGCTCAGCATTGGAGGTAAGTCTACTTCTATTCTATGTGATTTTTCTGAGTATATATAGCAACTGATTTAAAGTTTATCTACTATGCACCGGAATTCTTGACCGTATATCCAGTTGTTCATTCACCTAGACAATGCTATGAGCCGGTCTATTTAGAACTTTCGATTGATATATGTTAAGTGAATCAAATTACGAGAAGTGAATTATGTTCTTATTACAACTTAACGCGAGTCATAATAGTTACAAGTTGGGGGTGGTTTTGGGGGGGAGAATTCTACAAAATCCCAACCTTGTTATTATCCTAAGCTTAATACTGATCCTTGTAAATATATGTTGTTATAGTTAAGGAAGCAAATGGAGAAGATGAAACAAATTCATCAGGGCCTTCAGATGCCTCCGACCGATCACTGCTGCCGCGGCGCAGAGGCGTCAACTGGTGGATTAGAATCGCCATTTACTCGTTCCTCGTCATTGCCGGCCAGTCAGTTGCAACGTTCTTGGGAAAACAGTACTACGACAAAGGCGCCAAAAGCAATTGGCTGGCGACAGTAGTACAACTTTGTGGCTTTCCTATCATGCTTCCTTACTATTTCATCCCAGCAAGCAGAAATAATCCAACCCCAAAAGGTAGTCCTATCCCATCAAAACCACCGTCTACCAAAGTCGTCGCATCAGTATATGTCTCTCTTGGCTTCCTGATAGCCCTAGACTGCTACTTGTATTCCGTAGGACTATCTTACCTTCCTGTATCTACTTATTCCCTCATTTGTGCATCTCAGTTGGCCTTCAACGCGTTGTTCTCATTCTTCCTCAACGCGCAAAAGTTCACTGCTTACATTGTGAATTCTCTGGTTCTCCTCACCATCTCCTCCACCCTCCTCGCGTTCCAAGGTGAAGACGAATCTGGAGGCGATGATCCAAGTGGAGGGTCGAAGGTAAAGTATGCAATCGGGTTCCTATGCACTGTAGGGGCATCCGCCGGATACGGATTAACGCTCTCCCTAACTCAGCTTGCCTTCAAAAGGGCTATAAAAAGGGAGACGTTTAGAGCGCTCATGGACATGATAGTGTATCAAAATATGGTTGCAACCTGTTTTACCGTGGTCGGACTTTTCGCTAGCGGAGAGTGGAAGCATTTGAAGGGTGAGATGGAGGGGTATAAGCTAGGGAAGGTATCCTATGTGATGAATTTGACATGGACAGCAATAACATGGCAGGTCTTTTCTGTTGGAGCAGTAGGCTTGATTTTGGAGGCCTCTTCCCTCTTCTCCAACTCCATAAGTGCTTTGGGTTTGCCTGCCGTTCCAGTTCTGGCCGTGATCTTCTTCCATGAAAAAATGAATGGAATCAAGGGAATAGCCATGGTTTTGGGCATTTGGGGATTTGTTTCGTACGCGTACCATCACTACATCGACGATCGTAAGTCCAAGACGGAGAATAGAAACGCCGGAAATGATGAAGCTTCGAAAGCTTTAAGGGTTGAATAGAGAGGTCTGTTTTGTAGATCAATCTCTGGTTTCATGTAAAAGAATAGAATTACAAGCTTACCAATTGTCCTGATGAAAGGCTGTTGCTTTCCGCTTGAATCTTGTTTCGAACGGCCTGAAACATGTTTTAAATCATACCAGTAGCTCTACATACTGACTGATGCTTGTTGATGCAGCCTGTATGTTTTCCAAAAATGTTTAAAACGGTGTCGTAACGTCTTGATAGTGATACCTCCATCACCTGCAAGAATTTCAGGTTTTCCATATTACATAAGAGCTCTTCTTCTTCTTCCTCCTCCTCTCTCTCTCTCTCTCTCTCTCTCTCTTTCTCTCTCTCTCTCTCTCTCTCTCTCTCTCTCTCTCTGGTATATCAGTTTAAAATTACACCTCTGACATGGGAACAGCTCAAGATATGCAACCCCACATCGTAGGTAAGTCAGATTTCTATATGTACAAACGATTTCCTGGTTTTCGTGTTTTTTATATGGTTTTTCTGCATAAATTCGGAAAATTGTTTCGACGGTTTTAACTATCTAGCAGTAGAATTATAGCACATATCTGCAATGGAGGAACGAAGAAAAAACACCGAATAGTTGACAGATCGATTATATTCATAAGCTATAGAGAGAAAAAATGAGATTTTATTAATGAACTAAATCATAGATGAAGCTAATTCCATGGAAATCCAAATATGTGTTTCATACCAGTTAAAGAAGCTGAAGAAGATAATGCACTTGAGTTTAAGAAAACCCCCCACCAAGTAACAACTTCTCAGCCCGGAGATTTTATACGATGGGTGCGTATCACCATCTATACGCTATTCATCCTCTCCGGTCAGTCAGCAGCTATACTCTTGGGCCGACTGTACTATGACGAAGGTGGAAAAATTATATGGATGGCAACACTAGTGCAATTCACAGGGTTTCCTATCCTAATTCCTTACCACTGCATCTTATCATCCAAAAAGATCGCCGCACATAGCAATGTGCACCAACCATCTGCCTCAGTACTGACAGCGATGAATCTCTCTCTTGGTGTATTACTCGCAGCAGACAGCTTGTTGTATTCTATGGGACTCTTGTACCTTCCAGTTTCTACCTTTTCACTCATTTGTGCATCGCAGTTGGCCTTCAATGCTTTCTTCTCGGTCTGCCTTAATTCACAAAAGTTCACTCCTTTTATAGTCAATTCTCTAGTCCTTCTCACCATCTCCTCCACCCTGCTTGTGTTTCACCCCAACTCAGCAAACCTCACAGGAGTCTCCAAAGAGAGGTATACGATTGGGGTCATTTGCACTGTTGGTGCATCAGCTGGGTACGGCTTGATGTTCTCCCTCACACAGTTCTCCTTCGAAAAGGTTCTAAAAGCAAAACTTTTGTAACTGTATTGGAAATGATAATCTACGAATCTCTAATTGCAACCTGTGCTACACTAGTGGGACTTTTTGTCACTGGAGAATGGAAGGGTTTAAAGAGCGAGATGGAGGAGTTTGCGTTGGGGAGGCTATCCTATTTCCTGACTTTGATTTGTACAGCTACAGCATGTCAAACTTTCAACATTGGCGCCATAGGATTGATATTTGAGGTGTCTTCTTTAGTCTCCAATGTCATAAGTGCTTCCGGCTTACCTTTCATTCCAGTTCTAGCTGTAATCTTCTTCAATGATAACATGGATGGAATAAAGGTGATTGCCACGTTGTTGGCCCTCTGGGGCTTTGCGTCATATCTCTATCAGCACTACCTTGACGATTCAGAGTCCAAATCTGAAACTAAACATGTAGAAGAAATTTCAATGATTCCTTTACTTAAAGAGGTCAACTGCTGAGCGACTAATAAGATGGACAACCAGACATCCATTAACAAAGGAAAGAAAGCACTGCAAACACACTTTATTTGAAGATGGAAACATTTCATCTGGACCTATTTGTTCCATTCATGTTCAGTAAAAGTTCTGGGCATTGTCCTTCGCTGTGAAGATAAATCATAACTTGTGTTCATCAAATCAAATAATTATACAAGATACAGACTCTTATAACGTCAGTTTCTTTGTTGTCTGCAGTAGTTACCGGGGTCTTTTTGCTGCACAAAAGTTTTGTCAACTAAAACTAATCCTTCAAGTTTGAATGTCAAAAACGGTATGTACATTGGACATAACCAAACCGACTTTATCAATGACATGCTGATTTAGAGATATGCCTTCAGTATGTACAGAAAAGTTTAAAACGTCAACATTTTGAACATTATGAGTGCCAAATATGTACAGAACATCATCACGTGGAAGTGTGAACTAGAAAAGGGAAGACTGCAGAGCCTAAAAGGTAAAGATATAATGCTGCGTTTTGATAAACTAGAATGAAATCATTGTTAAATTACATGAGGTTACAAGTTGAAGCCAGTTATGCATAACTTTTGATTTCAAGTATTCCCTAAGAAAGATTATAAATATCGTAACGATTTTTACACAATCCTCGTAGCACAATGATATCAGTTTCTTCTTCAATTAGTAAGAAGTTAAAAATGCTGGCAACTATAGTTAAATTTAAAGTAACTGTAGACGTTTAAAAACACTTGAGAAGTGCACATTACATTGAGAAAACCTGGACGTTAGAGCACGTATAGCAGCAGCAGCAGAATCGGATCAACTACATGAGACAACCGACATAGTGAGCTCTGGGATACTTCTTCTGTAACTGAGGCCATTGGACAAAGAACTGATCCGCTATCCGTAACTTGTAAAGAAGCAAGCCGCTCAGGGAGAGCCTCTGCACTCTTGCTATACTCTCAACATAAAACACAGACGACCATCTAATCCCCACAACCTGCACATTTCCGATATCACCTCCCTAATCGAAAAAGTCCCGAAATTCATAACAGCAGAAAACCGCAATGACCCAACAAAGAAATATGAGAAAAGAACATCAAGGATCAATCCAAACCTTGAATAAGAATGCAATTACACAAAGTGGAACACAAGTCCCAGGCCCATTGCACAGAATCTGCAACACCAACAGCATTGATCATCAACAATTTGATCTCCAACGTCTCATATCAACAGAAACAAATTGAAAAAATGCGGAATTGCGAATAACCGAAAAGGTGAAAAGATTACCACTTGGGGTCGGATTCTGATCATTAGCCAGAGCCCATGAGCCAAAGCAATCAAAGCAGTCAAAACAGAGGTGAAATAAGACTGACCCACTTCCCTGCTCCGGTAGATCTGCATGAACTGCGAGCTCGAACTCTCATCGGCGTTCTCTTCGAGCAGTCGAGCTTTCTGGAGACTCATGTTATCAGTGGCGGCGGCGATGTAGAACCTGGGGGCAAATCTGTCTTTTTGAAGGACGGACAACAGGTTGATCATCTCTGCGGTGTGGCCTCCGGAGCCCAATACGATTAGGGTGCTGAGGGGTTGGGGAGCTGAGCCTTTCGAGCTGCTGGGTTTGCCGGTTCGGTGCAGGACGTAGAGGAAGCGAGTGATGATCAGCGTTGCGGCGGCGATTAAAAGAGTGATTGCGACGGCGCAGCCCATGTTTTGGGGAATCGAAAGGCTTTTGCTTTCCGTCAAAGGCGAGGACTTTAGGGAAAATATGGAAGCGACTCTCAGATGCAGTGATCGAAGAAACAAACAGGAATTTTCGGTTTATTCCCGGGAATTTTTTTTATTTTTTATTTTTCAGTAAAACTAATAAAAAATGTTTAAAAATTTTGAATTTTAACTATAAGAACAAAATAAAAGATAAATTAAATAGTAAAAGAATTGACTTTTTATTCGTTAAAGTTCCATTTTTTTCCCTTTATTCTAACTCCAACATATTAATAAAATTTATTTGTCAATCAAAACTTTAACAATTTACCACTCTAACCCTCTCACCAGAACTAAACAAAAATGAAAAACGTGAACAATTTAGTAATTACATCTAACACAAATTTTACTGTTCTCCATACTAACATCACAAGCACAACCATGTAAATATAACATATCTTATTTAAAAATTAAAAAATAAATAAACCTCACTTTTCTCCCCCCTCACACTCTACATTCCCCACATTTTCCAACCTTTTCTCTTCCCTTTTTTAATCTATCTTTTTCTTTTTTGAGTTGTCATCTGTGCTCATTAATAGTCATAGTAAAATAAAAAATAAATTTAGTTGTACAAGTAGAGCGCGTGTGTCGATTGCTAGTCCCTTTTTAAGGAGGGGACGAGTTGGAGCAATGAAAAGATTACTCTTTGGCAACGAAAGATCAAGGGTTCAAATTACGAAAACAACCTATTTGCAAAGCATGAGCAAGGCTACGTACAATAGATATTCCCGACTCTCGCAAAGTGGGTCGCCTTATTGATATGGGATCATTCTTTGCTCTTTCTAAAAGGAAAAATGGAAAAAGAAACAAATATATTGCATTGTAAAACAACAAATTACAAATACTAAAAATGTTCATGGCTCAAAATTTGTTTGTTTTGCATAATGTTCTGAAGAAATGCTTGTCAAGTCCTTGAAATTGCTGCAGCTGTCTTCAAACACTGATTAAACATTGCCAAGAACCGAAACAGTCACAAGCCATTTCGTGTTTGAGATCTACGGTCGAGTAGCATTCAGCAATCCTGACTAACACAGCATAGCGTTTCAGAGCACCCCAAATGAGAGCATCGAAATAAGTTTTGGTTTCTCTTATGTCTCTTCAATTTCCGTCTCTTCACAAGTGTAGTAAGCTATTCCCTTCTGCGGTTCAGTGAGTGCAGTGATCAACCTTGCACCCCAAGCAAGAGCAGATCAAGATCACTTCGGCCAAAAATGCAAGTAAAATGGATTCTTCACTCTCCGGTGTAACTCTTAATGTCAATTGTCCTGTTTGTTTTGTTTTCTGCCTATTGAGGGGAAGATGGGGAAAATATCCATCGAGAACAACCACGCTGGACTTCAGTACAAATCAAGTTCTAGAAATGAGGCACATATCCGAGCTCACCAAGACGAGCAGTCAATGAGTCTAATTCGGCATAAATAAAGTTAGCTTTAGGATGGGCTCTATCACCAGTAATAAAAGCATGCACACCATCCTTCAGCTCAATCCAGCTACAGCCCGGTATCTTCTTCACATTCTGCTGGCTCATTGAATGTCTAACTTCTGTTACCTCATCATATTGACCATTCGCTACATAAAGATTGGACATCAGCACATAATTACCACAGTGACCTGGATCAAGTTCAATCACCTTATGCACAGCGACCTCTGCGATATCCTGGTTCCCATGAAGTCGACATGCTGCTAGCAATGCCCTCCACAGCACAGGATTGGTCTCGATAGGCATTTCTAGCACCAGTTGATATGCCTCCTCAAGATGCCCAGCTCGACCAAGCATGTCAACCACACAAGTATAATGCTCGATGGTTGGAACCACGCCATACTTCGACTTCATTTGTCTCAAGAATTCACGCCCTTCTCTGACTAAACCTGTATGGCTGCACGCAGACAAAACCCCAACAAATGTAACCTCATCAAGCTTCATTTGTACTTTGCACATATCAGAGAACATATCCAACGCCTTACTGCCATATCCGTGCATGCCATAACCCATGATCATGATGTTCCAGGATGCAACATCCTTATTCCTCATCTTATTGAAAACCATATAAGCATTTCTCATGCTCCCACATTTTGCATACATGTCCATAACTGCATTGGTGATTTGCACGTCATCAACATTCACATCCTTCTCCAACCCATTTTTAATCATATATCCATGAATTTCTCTACCATGCATCAATGCTGCCAGACGAGCACACACTGGAAGGACAGTCGTGATGGTTACCAAATCAGGAAGAACTCCACCCCTTAACATTCTATCAAAAAGCCTCAGAGTCCCATCGTGATCACCGCAATGCTCATGCACTGCAATAATTGAGTTCCACGAATATATATCCTTCTCAACCATCATCTCAAAAATCTTCAAGGCGTCTCCAACACACTTGCATTTCCCATACATGTCAATCAACGCATTCAAAACCTCAACACCTGAATCATACCCCATTTTCGTCGCAAACCCATGCACCGCTCTCCCATTGTCAAAACCACCCATCACAGCGAAAATAGACAAGACCCCAGTCACGGTAAACCTACTCGGCACAACCCCTTCCTCACCCATCATACTAAACACCGCCAAAGCCTCCTCAAGCAGCCCAATCTGCGCAAACCCATTAACCATTGCATTCCAAAGCACAACATCTCTAACAGGCAATTCGTCAAACACTTCCTGTGCCTCCTCCATCAACCCCAATTTCAAATACGTATTCACCAGAGCACTGCCAACATACACATCCAACTCCAACCCAAATTTCACCACCAACCCATGAATCTTCCTCAACTCCAGAACCCCGCTGCAACCCCTAATCACACACGGAAACGTAAACTTATCCGGCATAACACCGGCAAACCGCATTCTTCTATAAAACTCGAACCCATCTCTACCCAACCCGTTTGCTATAAACCCAGCAATGACAGCATTGTAAGCAAACACATTGTGGTCAAAAGACTGATAATTGAAAGTCGAAACGGCGTCGTCCATCTGGTTGCACTTGGAGTACATGTTGATAAGGCTGGTGGTGGAGAGAGGGGAACGGAGGAAGCCATTGGCGAGCATAAATGAGTGGACTTGCTTGCCTTTTCTGAGATTCTGGCGGCGGGCGCATGCTTGAAGGGAAGCTATGCAGGCAGCGAGGTCGTGCGGCGACTGAGCAGGCGACCGGGCAGCGGAGTGCGAGAAGGAGGAGCTGAGGCGCAGAGAAACAGATGGGTTCCTGAACAAATTGGTGGCTTTGTTCATCAGGAGCGTCGGTGTCTGATCACAGCACCATGAATTTTTGCAAAGATATTTATCTAGTTATTTAGAAACTATGAATTTCTCGGCTTTACGAAACGCTGCTTCCAAGTTCCATAAATCGCGATTTCACAGGTGACTTCTATTCTCCAGAAAAATATAAGTTGCATTGAACCACAAGGAACTCCAATTCCTAACTATCGTATGTCACAAAATAATGGCTTTTAATGGTCTCCGTTGTCATAGGATAATCGGAAGTTAATACCATAGAAAAAAAAATTCAAACTTAAAATCTTTGTGATAAAGTCTGCTAAAAATAAAGCTCATAATTAATAATTCCGTCAACTTTCCGTTAACATTTTCACTCCACCCCATCTTTTTTCCCACCTGGGTTCTGCCTCTCCCTGCCTGCTTCTCTCTCTCAATATCTTTCCGGACTTTTGGCCTCGAGCAAAACTAATAAATATTTATCTGAATCCGAGCACCCAAGACTTAATATTTGTTTTTTTTTTGGGTCGAAAACAAAGTAAGCAGTTTCATCCCAATATAAATACATTAAATTAGCCCAACAAAATAGGAATAGCCAAAGCCCAATCAGTAAAAATGCAAAAAAATTAAAGTTAATTAACTAGTAACTTTCAGCCCCAAAAGGTAACAACGATGACAATAATTAATTGTAACAATTAATGTTGCAATTTCACAAGTTTAAACCCTTTAGGTGACAATGACGACAATTAATGTCCCTAGGAGTGGAACTGATCTCATGTGACCTAAGTTCCAAATTTTGTGGAAGGGCCCAATATGGACCTTTGACCGACGGAAAGAGATATTTTTCGGATCCCTTACATCAAATCCTGTCAATTAACAAATTCGGACATTTGAAATTTGATCTAACAGTTAAAGTTATTATAATTTTTAAAAAGATCCCTTATTTTTAACCGTTGAATTAAATTTCAAAAATCCGAATTGATTGATTAACAAGATTTAATTGAAGGGATCTGAAGATGATATACCCACACCCATCACCATTCGATTTGGATAAGAGTGTGATGCGCCCAACTTTTCATCTACATTTTACGCCTCACCTCCTCAATATTGCTCACTAATCCAATTCATTTTTTTTTATTTTTTAGAATATGAGCTATCTCGTAACAAATTAACGACAAATTAATTTTTCATTTCATAAATTAACGAGCGGTTCTGGTACGTCAATTTGCTTTTTAAAATGAGAAAGACTCACATATGTATTTTAATAATTTTAAATTATTATTGACTAACTCCCACTAATCCAACGGAGAGAATGATCTAGAAACTGAATCCGTGAAAAATGAAATAAAAAATAACAAAATAAAGAGGGGAGAAGATTCGAATACCTTCCTTGGACCGGAGATTGCTTCTGCCTGGACACACCGCGAGTCGTACGATGAGAAGAAAGAGATAATATTACTCATTCACTCCTTCTTCTCTCTCTCCACGGAAAGAGGAGAGAGAAAGCTTGAGTTGATCATCAATGGCGGTCAGGCTAACGACCTGGTTCGTAACTCAGGGGCTCACCATTAGCGGCTCCAACTCCACCTCCAGGCACTGCTCAAATTCGAGCTCCCGCTTTTCATTTCACTGCACTCCCGCTTCATCCTGCAAGCTCCGGCACCGCAATCTCAGGTCCCTCTCTCTCTCTTCTATCTGAGCTCGTTTATCGATCAAATTCTCAAAGTTCAATCTGCGTGATCAAGTGATTGATGATGATTTTGATTCAATTTCAAACTTGTGAAGTTGCTATTGCGTGAATAAGAGGCAGAGACTGAAGAAGAAAGACTCGGTCGAACAGTCTTCGACGACTGCAGATTTCCAGCTCAATGGCGACGACGACTCCGAATCTGAAAATGCTTCTTCGGCGGGCGTAGTCGTCCCCATTGAAAGCGTATCTGATGACGAAGCTCGCACTGCCAATGGAGACGATTCGATTTCGACGGCTCTGACTCCGTCTGATGAAGCAAATCCTTCGGTAACTCATCGCCTTTGCTTTTCGAAACTCAAGGGTTCTTATATACATATTTGTTCAATTTTCATAAATTTGATTACTCGTTGGCTTTACAGGCGTATAGTACACAGGATTTGGTTGACATGATTAGAAATGCAGAGAAAAGTATGATATTTCTCTTCCCTGTTCATTTGGTTTCATGTAGGGTCCGTTTGGGACTGCTTTTGTTAGAAGCACTTCCAGGCATAAGCACTTCTAGCACCTTTATTAGAAAACTTCGAAATTTCTATTAGAAATTCAAATGATTTTTGAAATGCAGTTGAGAAAGCACTTGACTTATGTAAAAGTGCTTCTAAGTTTTTTTCTTTTTCAAATGTGGTCAGAAGTGCTTTTAGTCTTTAAAAGCAGTCCCAAACAGGCCTTACTGTTTATGCCTCTTCTATTAGATTTGTGAAATGTGTATATATCTTTGTGGCCTTAGATATCCATATTCTCAACCAAGCGCGGGTTAATGCGCTTGAAGACCTTGACAAGATTCTTGGCGAGAAGGAGGCATTGCAAGGAGAGATGAATGCATTGGAAATGAGATTGGCAGAGACCGATGCACGGATTAGAGTAGCTGCCCAGGAAAAAATAAAGGTGGAACTTCTAGAAAACCAATTAGATGAGATGCGGAATGATCTGAATCTTAATAGTGGTGGTGGTGTCGAAAGAGGTCAGGTGGAGATTTTTGAGAATGAAAACGAGCTGTTTAATGAAGAAGCTCCTGTACCATACAGAACTAGTATCAATGCTCTTGTTACCAATCTGAATGCATTGAGATTAGAAAATCAATCCCTCAGGAGTGACGTAGAAGCACTTAGGGAGGAGCTTAGCTATGTGAAGAATACGGATGAACGAGTGGTAATGCTGGAAAAACAACGGTCGACTTTAGAGTCTGCCTTGAAAGAGTTGGAATTGAAATTGTCAGTTTCTCAGGAAGATGTTTCCAAACTATCCAATCTTAAAGTCGAATGCAAAGGATTATGGGAGAAGGTGGAGAGTTTGCAGCTACTGCTAGATAAGTCAACCAAACAGGCAGATCAAGCTATTACCGTGTTACAGCAGAACCAAGAGATTCGAAAGAAAGTTGATAAATTAGAAGAATCTCTTGAAACAGCTAATATCTATAAAGAATCATCAGAAAAGATGCAACAATATAATGAGCTAATGCAGCAGAAGATAAAACTTATGGAGGACCGGCTTCAAAGATCTGACGAAGAGATACATTCCTATGTTCAATTATATCAAGAATCTGTGGAGGAATTTCAAGATACACTAAATACTCTAAAAGAAGAAAGCAAGAGAAGGGCAGTTGATGAACCTGTGGATGATATGCCGTGGGAATTTTGGAGTCGTTTATTGCTTATGATCGATGGTTGGTTGTTTGAGAAAAAAATATCAATGGATGATGCCAAGGTGTTGAGAGAAATGGTCTGGAAGAGAGATCGACGACTTCGTGACTCATACATGGCATGCAAGGAAAAGAACGTGAATGAGGCTGTGTCTACATTTCTCAAACTGATATCATCACAAACAAGGTATGAACGTTCTAGTATTAGAAGAATACAGGGTTTACGTATTTAAGCTTCTATTTAATCTGCGACTTTGTTGATTTTTAGTCCAGGATTGCATGTCGTTCATATTGCAGCAGAGATGGCACCAGTTGCTAAGGTGAGATTAGCTTGCCTTTATACATCTGTATCTTTCTTTGCTTTATTCTATTAAGATAACTGAGTGGGGTTTCTTACTTGTCAAGCTACAATAACTTTTATTACAGCAGTTCAGATTCAGGAATTTGTTAAGCATTAATATTTGTGTAAATGTATAGGGACAACTCAATGATCTTTCATTTGGTTTGATAAACATACCATCAACATAACTAGTTAATTTTACAGGTTGGTGGTTTGGGGGATGTTGTGGCTGGTCTTGGTAAAGCACTGCAGAAGAAGGGACACCTTGTGGAAATTATACTTCCCAAATATGACTGCATGCAGTACGATCGTGTTCCTGACCTAATGGTAAACTGAATACTTAATGAATCTTAGAAAAGATGTTTTTCTAGTTGAGTCTCATTACACGTTAACATGCAGGCCCTAGATGTGGTGCTGGAGTCATACTTTGATGGTCGACTATTCAAAAATAAAGTGTGGGTTGGCACTGTTGAAGGTTCGTACATTGAAAGTTTCTGTTTGCATGACTTTTTTTGTCTTGGATTCGCACTGTAGTCTTGGATGCTCACTCTAGTGTTGATTATGCAGGTCTTCCAGTTTATTTTATTGAGCCTCTACATCCTGATAAGTTCTTCTGGAGAGGACAATTTTATGGGGAACGTGATGATTTCAAGCGATTTTCCTTTTTCAGTCGTGCAGCCCTTGAGTTGCTTCTTCAATCTGGCAAGAAACCAGACATAATTCATTGCCATGATTGGCAGACAGCTTTTGTTGTATGGACCATTAAACCCTTCATTTTTTTTACCATGCTGTCTTTGACCGCCTTAGTTCTCTCAGTGACTGACTTGTTGCTGTTCTTAGGCACCACTTTACTGGGATCTATATGCTCCAAAGGGATTAAACTCAGGTAGAATATGTTTTACATGCCACAACTTTGAATACCAAGGGACTGCGCGTGCTTCAGAATTGGCATCTTGTGGTCTTGATGTCCACCAGCTAAATCGACCAGATAGAATGCAGGACAACTCAGCACATGATAGGATCAATGCTGTTAAGGTACAGCAATTGTTGATTCATCTATTACCAGCATCTTTCAGGAGTCGGCAAAACCTTTCCTGATTCCATTTTCATTTTTGTTTTTCCTCTTTAAGGGTGCAGTTGTATTCTCCAATATTGTGACAACTGTATCGCCCACCTATGCGCAAGAGGTGCGGACTGCTGAGGTATGGCTTTTGCTCATACTTACGAGTTCCTATAGATATCAGATTCAAATTCAAATTGCTTGCCCTGTCCCAGCCTAGAGACGTTGTTTGCTTTTAACATTTGATTTTGGAGAATCTAATTATTTTCACCAAATGTTAATTTCTGTCATAAATTGTGTAAATATGTCTCTCTTGTATAAGTAGTAATCCAGATTCCAGACATGTTAGGAATAACAACATCTGAGTATGATTTTGTTTTTGGATTTGTGTTGAGATGATGTTGGCCTCTTCAAGATGAAAGAAAAACTTTAAAAAATGTGCTTTTCTATGAGAGCTTTGATATAGAAGTCATCAGGTGTTGGACTCTAGTAAATTATGTGGCTCCTAATCAATAGGTTCTTCTTGTTGGACACTCAATATCCCACTTTTATTCTGTTTTTGGGCATAAGTACCACTTCACAGATGAGAAAAGAGAACAACATTTCTCTTCCCTACTCATGCAAAAATACATCATGGTCTCTGTTTTGAACTTTCATGGCATAGT